GCCTTCTTTCTTAAGACTTTTTATATATCAAGTTGTATTTAAAAATCTTGATACAGTAGAAAAACTTTTTGATAAGATTCCCCCCAAAATGCTGATGGAGGTGTTATAAGATTCCTTGTAAAATTTGCGATAAAGTTTATTACAGTCAAACTGTTAGTCTCGAACTAGATTAAAACAAACATAAATTAGATTAGAATGGACAAGATTCCAATGCTCTATTTATTCATGTAAGAGATTTTAAGCACCAAACTGATTTCAAAAAGTTGAGAAAGTTGTGTCAGCATGTCCATGGACGACAGGGAATATAAATGAATCTTATTTCATAAAAAGCAGTTTTGGCAATAATGTGAAATATTTTCCTTTGGTTTATATAAACTAGATTCCATTATAATTAATAGAATTTGGGAAGAATTTAATAATACATTGGACAAATACTAAATTTTAAAAATTCTTAATTCTTGGGTAGAATACACCTACCATCCGGACTTACGACCTGTCGACATATACGTCCACGACTTACGACCGTGCATCTGGCAGCCCCACTGTACAATATTTGACAATTACTCCCGGCGGCAATGCGTCATGCCAGGCAGCATCGTTTGGAGTAACCCTGTCCTTCAGTAGCATCATACTGTATTAACTGTACTAACTGGACAGTAATTTCACCATGGCCCCTAAGATGAAGTCTGTGGCAAGAAAGGCTCTTTACTCTCGAACTCTCTATTTGTTTTCACTGTTGCACCATTAACCTGTCTGTATCTGTCTGCCTATATATCCGTGAATATCTGTGACTTTATCTTCTGTTACCTGTTGTGTCTTTGTTACCTGTGTGTGTCTCTGTCTACCTGTGTAGTGTCTTACTTGTGTGCATCTTGGTCTACCTGTGTGAGTTTCTGTCTACTACCTGTGTGTGTCTGTCTACCTGTGTGTGTCTGTCTGTCTACTGTGTGTCTGTTGTTACCTTAGTGTCTGTCTACCTGTGGTCTGTCTGTCCGTCTGTCTGCTTGTCTGTCTCATGAGCCATTCATTAAGGAGTGTAATTGGGTCTTGAAAGATGCCTATTAATAATGATAATAACACAATACTAATCACTGAGGCGCATTAAATGTGTATAAAACGTTGATATAGACGTGTTTTGCTTAATTCCCATCTATGATTTCTTTTTCAAAAATTATATAATAAACATGCTACATAACATATAAACATATAAATAAAAATATGAGGATGTTTTTCTGGTCGGCTTGACAGAGGGAACAGGAATTATTCATGTCCGGGCTGGTAACAACAACAACGTTTGTTTACATAACTCGCCAACTTCTACACACTCATTCATTTATTCATTTAAATCTTATTTACTCACCTCCATTCTACATTAAGGACTACAGATATTTTAAATAAGTAATGAGTGGACACGATTATTATATTATAGTTTAATAATAATTAATATTAATATTAGTACATATGTAATATTGTATAATAATAAATAATAATTATTATTAATATTATTAAATTTAGGCACTGGAGCACAGATCCACTGTATAGCACTTTGTCTGGATTATTTGTTTATTCTAGGTAATTTATTACTATGTATGATAACTTTACTTACGTGGTACCTGTGTGTGTGTGTGTGTGTGTGTGTGTGTGTGTGTGGTAGTGTGTGTGTGTGTGTGTGTGTGTGTGTGTGTGAGTGTGTGTGTGTGTGTGTGTGAGAGAGAAGAGAGAGAGAGTGAGAGAGAGAGAGAGAGAGACGAGAGAGAGAGAGAGAGAGAGAGAGAGAGAGAGAGACGAGGAGAGAGAAGACAGAGAGAGAGAGAGAGAGAGAGGAGAGAGACAGAGAGAGAGAGCAGAGAGAGAAGAGACCAGCAGAGAGGAGAGAAGAGACCCTGAGAGAAAGAGAGACCCCAGAGAGAGATAGGACAGGGAGAAGAGAGGAGAGAGAGAGACAGAGAGAGGAGAGACAGGAGAGAGAGAGACAGAGAGAGAGAGACAGAGAGAGAGAGACAGAGGAGAGACAGGAGAGACAGAGACTAGAGAGAGAGAGAGAGTGAGAGAGAGAGGAGAGAGATGAGAGAGACAGGAGAGAGAGAGAGACAGAGAGAGAGGAGGACAGAGAGATGAGAGAACAGAGACAGAGGACAGAGAGAGACAGAGAGAGGAGAGGACAGAGAGAGAGAGACAGAGAGAAGAGAGAGAGAGAGAGGAGAGAGAGGAGAGAAGAGAAGAGAGAGAGAGAGGAGAGAGAGAGAGAGGAGAGAAGAGAGAGAAGAGAGAGAGAGAGGGATGAGAGAGAATGAAGAGAGAGAGAGAGACAGAGACAGAGAGGAGAGAGACAGAGACAGATGAGAGACAGATGAGAGACAATATGAGACAGAGAGAGACCAGGAGACAGAGGGACAGAGACAGAGAGAGCCGCGTCCCCCCCGCGCGAGACAGAGACAGAAGAGAGAGGCCAGAAAATGAAAGAGAGTGAGAGACAGGGAGAGAGAGGAGAGAGACGAGAGATGGAGAGAGATGAGAGACGAGAGAGAAGAGAGAGCGCCACATTCAGGCAGCAATCACCCACTCGGCACCTCCCACCCACCTGGCAGCCAACCAGTAGTATTACACATGTTCCAGAGTTGTTTCTCTTTACTTAGGGTATAGGTTTACTACATTCTGACAAGATGACACTACAGTGGTATTTCCCATTCCACTGTGTCAAACAATACATAAGTTAACGTAACATTATTGATACTGTTATGTGATGTAAAATTACAATACAGTCACTACATGTACACAATTATATAAGTAAATAATTAAATATAACAATAGAAGTAAATTCTGGTAAAAAATGAAATAATGATTGTACATTTACATTACAGTACTTTGTAGGATAGTTTATATAGGAAAGTTTGACATATGCCCTACCAGTATGTCGGCAATTTCCAAAGGTTCGGACTTACGTTCCATTTTTGACTTACAACCGGTTGGTCGGAACCAAGGCGTTGGTCGGTAAGTGGATGATAGGTGGTCTATATATATATATATATATTGAGGGAAAAAGCAGTGAGTGGTGCACTTAGGGTCTGTGGAGACAAAGAACTTTGTCCTTGGAGGCAAAGACGGGGAATGTATGAGTGTATAGTTTTACCAACGCTCTTATATGGGTGTGAAGCGTGGGTGATGATATGTTGCAGCGAGGAGAAGGCTGGAGGCAGTGGAGATGTCATGTCTGAGGGCAATGTTGGTAGTGAATATTAAAGCAGAGAATTCGTGTTGGAAGTTAGGGGGAGGAGGTGCGGGATTTACCAAAACTGTTGTCCAGAGGGCTGAGGTAGGGTTATGAGTGGTTCGGAATGTAGAGAGAATGGAGCGAAAACAGAATGACTTCAAGAGTGTATCAGGTCTGTAGTGGAAGGTAGGCGGGGTAGGGTGGCCTAGAGGGTTGGAGGGAGGGGGGTAAAGGAGGTTTTGTGTGCGGGGCTTGGCACTTCCAGCAGCATGCGTGAGCGTGTTGATAGGGTGAATGGAGGACAGATGGTTTTTAATACTTGACGGTGCTTGCAGTTGGAGGTGTGAGCAAAGTAACATTTATGAAAGGGATTCAGGAAACGGCAGGGCCGGACTTGAGTCCTGGATGATGGGACGTACGTGCTGCACTCTGAAGGAGGGGGTGTTATGTTGCAGTTTAAAAACTGTAGTTGTAAAGCACCCTTTGCAAGACAAGTGATGGACCGTGAATGATGGTGAAGTTTTTCTTTTTCGGTGCACCCTGCCTTGGTGGGAATCGGCCGGTGTGATAATAAATAAAAATAAAAAAAAACATTGGTTATCTCTCACCAAAGCAGGGTGGCCTGAAAAAGAAAAACTTTCATCATCATTCACTCCATCACTGTCTTGCCAGAGGGGTGCTTTACACTACAGTTATAAAATTGCAACATTAGCACCCCTCCTTCAAAGTGCAGACGCTGTACTTCCCATCTCCAGAACTCAAGTCTGGCCTGCTGGTTTCCCTGAATCCTTTCATGTTACCTTGCTCACACTCCAACAGTATGCCAAGTCTTAAAAGCCATTTCTCTCCATTCGCTCCTATCTAACACACTCATGTATGCTTGCCGGAAGTCAAAGCCCCTCGCGCACAAAACCTCCTTTACCCCCTTCCTTCAAACTTTCCTAGGCCAACCCCTACCCCGTCTTCCCTCCACTACAGATTTATATACTCTCAAAGTCATTCTATTTTGTTCCTTCCTCTCTAGATGTCCGAACCACCTCAACGTGGAAAATACTTTAGAGCCTAGTCCCAAACCTAAACACTACTGTAATAACATACTGGAGGGAGGATATGGGAAGAAAGTGTAAAATAAACCCAGTGAAAAGAGGGATGCCATGGGTACAATAAGAGAACACTGTACTGGCAACCATGGGATGCAATTATCCAACCTGCTACCAGCAGATATCAGAAATGTTGCCAGAAGAAGTGCAGAAAGTCTTCAAGATGAAACTGGATTACTACCTCTGACAAGTCTCAGATCAAGCAGACTGTGATGGAATACATGGGCCAACAGACCTCAAACAGAAACAGTCTGGCTGACCAGGTAAGAAACAGAAGTAAGAAGATTTTCAAAACTAATCATAGGTATATCAGGATAGAAAAAATAGGAAAGAGAAGAGAAACTCACTTGTGTATCATTTTGCAGAATGGTTTCAATTTCACTGTCAAAAAAATATGAAATTAGATAAGAAATACTATGATTCAGGAGCTCATCTGCGATTGCAACAAGGGTGTCTGGGGAAAAAAGTTCCAATTTCTGAGCTATTTTCAAGAAAGGATTAAGGCAATAGGTGAGGGAATTTTAGTGGGCAAAGAGAGACTCTGTGACAATGTTTAAGAAAACTGCATCATTCAAATTTTCAGAAAAATCTGATGAACCTGTTTCTCTAGGATAATAAATTGTGAATTTTTCTATAATTTGGGCACCCAAAGCATGAATTAGTCCAGTACTAAGGTGACTATTACTTACTTGTACTTGCCATGGAATTTCTTATCTTGCAACACAGTTTGGATACGTTCAAATGGGCAAAGTATAGCCTCAGTACATCCAGCTAATGTGGCAGCCAAGGCCATTGTTGTTCCTGTAGTAAATAAAGAGAATATGGGGAATGACATACATATGCACAATGAAGAACAAAGAGGCACAATACTGTGACTGGAACAGTACACAAATAACCCGCACATAAAGCTTATGATGACGTCTCCCCAGTCTGACTTGGACCATGTGACTTTGTAAATGATCCAAGTCGAACCGACACGTCATCGTAAGCTTCTCTCTCTACGTGCGGGTTATTTGTGTATATGCACAATCAAGATACAGTCAGCTCTTTTTTGAAGCTTCTCTATAATAGTGCAATTTTTCATAACAGAGAGTGAAAAAGTACAATTTATTCAAATTGAATAGCATTCAATAAATGTACTATTCAATTTTCCATGCAATTGTATTTACAAAAAATTGCACTAAATAGAGAAGTTTATAAGAGAAGTGTATATAGTGAAGGTGATGTACCACACCTGGTTATATCACTCCTGAGTGATAAAGCCACAAGTTGTGAAATGTCTCCTTTACTATATGTCTGCACTATGTATATATGCCTTATTCCCACACTCTGTCAGTATGTATTACCATACCTGTAGTCATACATAAGAGAATATAATTTTGTGTGGACAAGTTAGCATATGAGAAGTTTTTACAAAGTAGAAGTGATGCAAGGAGGGAAGAGTATATGGAGAAAAAAGAGAGAAGTTAAGAGAGTGGTGAAGCAATGTAAAAAAGAGAGCAAATGAGAGGAGTGGGGTGAGATGTTATCATAACAAATTTTGTTGAAAATAAGAAAAAGTTTTGGAGTGAGATTAACAAGTTAAGAAAGCCATAGAGAACAAATGGATTTGTCAGATTAAAAATAGGAGAGGAGAGTTATTAAATGGAGAGTAGATGTTATTGGAAGATGAATGAATATTTTGAGGAATTGTATTAAAAAATGTTGATGAAGATAGGGAAGCTGTGATTTCGTGTATAGGGCAAGGTAGGAATAACATCTTGTAGGAGTTAGTGAGGAAGAGCAGTTTGTGAGTGTTGGGGGAAGTTCTGAGCAGTAGTAAATGAAAGGGGTAAGGCAGCCGGGATTGATGGGATAATAAGATAGAAAGTTAAAAGCAGGTGGGGGATATAGTTTTGGAAGGTGGTTGGTCAATTATTTAATAAATGTATGGAAGAGGGTAAGGTACCTAGGGATTGGCAGAGAGCATGAATAGTTCCTTTGTATAAAGGCAAAGGGAAAAGAGAGTGCAAAAATTATAGGGGGATAAGTCTGTTGAGTGTAACCTGGTAATGTGTTATGGTAGAGTTATAATTGAAAGAATTAAGAGTAAGACGGAGAATAGGATAGCGATGAACAAGGAGGCTTAGGAAAGGTATTGGGTGTGTGGACCAGGTGTTTACAGTTGAAACATATAAGTGAACAGTATTTAGATAAGGCCTTAAAGAAGGTCTTTGTGGCATTTATGGATTGGAAAAGGCGATGAAGGGTGGATAGGGGGGCAATTGTGGCAGTATGTTGCAGTGTTATGGTGTAGGAGGTAGGTTACTGAAACGTGAAGAGTTTTTACGAGGATAGTGAGGGGGTCAAGTTGAGTATGTAGGAAAGAGGAAATTTTTTCCCAGTCAAAAGTAGGCCTTTAGACAAGGATGTGTGATGTCACCGTGGTTGTTTATATATTTATGGTGGGGTTGTAAGAGAAGTAAATGCGAGGGTCTTGGCAAGAGGCGTGGAGTTAAAAGATAAAGAATCACACAGAAAGTGGGAGTTGTCACTGCTGCTCTTTGCTGATGACACTGTGCTTTGGGAGATTCTGGAGAGAAGTTGCGGGATTGGTGGATGATTTGGTAGGGTGTGCAAAAAGAAGAATTAAAGGTGGAATACAGAAAGAGTAAGGTTATGAGGATAACAAAAGATTTAGGCTGATGAAAGATGAATATCAGATTGGAGGGAGGGAGTATGGAGGAGTGTGAAACGTATTCAGATATTTGGGGAGTGGACGTGTCAGCGGAATGGGTCTATGAAAGTGAGGTGAATCATAGAATTGATGAGGGAAAAAGAGTGACGTGCGTATGCACTTAGGAGTTGTGGAGACAAAGAAACTTTGTCCTTGGGAGGCAAAAGAGGGAAATGTATGAGAGTTAGTTTTTACCAACGCTCTTTTGGGTGTGAAGCGTGGGTGATGGAAGTTGCAGACGAGGCGAAGGCTGGTGGCAGTGGAGATTGTCATGTCTGAGGGGCAATGTTGTGGTGTGAATATAATGCAGAGAATTCGTGTTTTGGAAGTTAGGAGGAGGTCGGGATTACCAAGACTGTTGTTCCAGAGGGCTGAGGAAGGGTTGTTGAGGGTGGTTTCGGACATGTAGAGAGAAGGAGCGAAACAGGGGGGGGGGGGGGGGGAATGATTCAAGAGTGTAACAGCTGTAGTGGAAGGAAGGCGGGGTAGGGGTCGGCCTAGGAAGGGTTGGGAGGTGAGGGGGTAAGGGAGAGGTATTGGTGCGAGGTACTTGGACTTCCAGCAGGCTATGCGTGAGGTGTTTGATAGGAGTGAATGGAAGACAAATTGGTTTTTAATACTTGACGTGCTTTTCGGAGTGTGAGCAAAAGATAACATTTATGAAGGGATCAGGCGGAGGGAAAAAAAAAAAAACCGGCAGGCCAGGACTTGAGTCCTGGAGATGCGGAAGTAAGTGCCTGCACTTCTGAAGGAGGGTGTTAATGTTTGCAGTTTAAAAACTGTAGTGTAAAGCACCCTTCTGGCAAGACAGTGCAAGGAGTGAATGGATGGTTGAAAGTTTTTCTTTTTCGGGCCACCTGCCTTGGTGGGAATCGGCGGTGTGATAATAAAAAAAAAATAAGTTCTCTACAATGTTTGTTAACTGATCATTACTTCTGTAATTTATTCATGATTGTAAACCATGTATAACGAGTTTTGATTCTTTACCTTTGAAGAAATAACAAAAAGGCACAATACATGGACTGGAACAATACAAATAACCTGCACATAGAGGAGGAGGAGTTACGAAGACGTATCAGTCCGACTTGAGACCATTTACAAAGTCACACTAACGAAAAAAAGGAGAGAAGGATGGGTATATATAGGCAGGAGGTTGGTGGTGGTGGTGGTGGTTGTGGTGGTGGTGGTGGTGGTGGTGGTGGTGGTGGTGGTGGTGGTTGGTGGTGGGTGGGGTGTAGTAGTAGTAGTGGTAGTTTTTTTTTAAAGTAGAGGTGAAGAAAGTAGTAGTGGGGAAGTGGTAGTGTAGGGGCTTAGTAGTTTATTTAATATGTTTATTATGACCCCTTACCCAAGTAGGAGGGGCCGTCAGATACTAAGAAGAGGAGCACTGCAAGGGTGCTAGGTGCCCACAGAGGGTAAGGCAAGGAACACCGAGGGGGGGGGGGAACAAAATAAATAAATAAAGGAACAAATACACAGGGCAGAAGAAAGGACAACCCAAGGAAGGAAAAAAGGAAAGAGGAAAAGGGGAAAGAGGGGAAGAGGAAAAAGGAGGAATCAGGTTAGGTCACAAAAGTTTTCTTAAGTTTGGAGCATTTTACGATGTAGTGGGAGAGGAAGGACATCTACAGAGATGAAGCCAGGACTAAGATTCATGCAAGGAAAATTGTGTATCTTAGGGAGGATTCAAAGACGGGGACTGTTAAAGTTGGATGTAGGAAAGACAGTTTTAGCAGAAAGACCAGTCAATCGCTGGTGTGATCTCTGACGTGACAGAAAAAGAGCATTGTTAGTGGGGTCGGCAAGCCTAACACTATTTTTGTGCTCCCTAAGTCTGTCAGAAAGAGATCAGACCAGTTTCTCCAAAGTATTGAGAGGACCAGGAGGAACAAGAATTAGAGTAGGACACCAGGAGCTCTGTAGAGGGGAAGGAGAGGTATGAACAAGATTAGAAATGCGAAGAGTGTTAGTCATGGCAGAAGTAGTTTGATTGTCTAAGGAATGGAGAGAGTTGTTGAGATTAGAAAGGACCGGAAATGTAGAGGAAGGCAGAGGACAGAATGAGTCCCAGGAGTAGAGAGTTTGGGAGAGAAGAAACTACGTTTAGCACATGAGAAGGGCAGAGACAATGAAATGGGGAAGGGTAGCCAATATGGGAAAATGAATTATGAAGAGTGGAAATTTCAGATTGAAGGAACGAGGATCACATATGCAGAGAGTACAGAGAAAGCGGTGAGATTAAGAACACTTTTCTTGACAGAGGAAAAGCATTGATAAGAAAAGTAGTGAATGTACATGTCACTGTGATAGGCTTGCGGGTGTGTAAACGGAAAGGCAAAACCTGTGTTGTAGCGGTGGACATGAACATCAAGAAAAGTAAGCCAAGGAGTTGTTAGATTTCTCATTCAGCTTTAAACTTAATGGAAGGGGCAAGATTTATTAAGAGTATCAAGAAATGGGCTGGAAAGAGACAAGAGTCTGAGGCCTCAGAGCAAAGATGTCATCAACATAGTGGAGAAGAGTGAAGGGCGCACATCGATAGTAGGAAGAACAGTCTCAAAGTATTCCATGTAAAGATTAGCAAGGACAGGAGTGAGAGGAGAGCCCATAGCCACAGAAAGTTTGAGAATAATATTTACCTTGCGAAGGAAAGGAATTAGTCCACACAGAGGGATAAGATCAGAAAGACATCAGTAGGTATTGGGAGATGAAGAAACCCTTCAATGGCCTTCTCTCTAAGAAAATCAAGGACATCATCAAGAGGGACATTGGTGAAGAGTGACTCAAACATCAGGACATAAGCATCTTACAGGTCGGGAGAGAGTGAACCCGTTCAATGAGGTCCTGAGAGTGATGGAGGTGGGCAGGAGAAAAAGTATCAAGAAAGGGAGTTGAGGGTTTTGGCCAGCCAAGAAGAGGAGCATAAGAAAGAACCTGTAGAGGATATGAGAGGATGTAGGGGAATATCAGGTTTATGGGTTTTGGGAAGGCCATTAGAATAGGGCAGAGCGGGACAGATGACACGAAAACGTTGACCGAGGTCAAAGTCAGGAGGACAGAGGTCAGATAGAGTCCTTTGTTTCATGTTTTAAAAGTTCTCTGATGCGATCAAGAGGGATTGGGAACGAAAGGGTGTAGGTACATGAGTCAGAAGCAAGAATCAGCTTTACAAAAAGGTATTCTTCGATCAAGGATAACTACCGAATTACCTTTGTCAGCATGACAATGTGGTGTTGGATTTAAACCTTTAAATGGTCCAAATGTATTTATACGTTTTTTCACTCTGAAAGTATGTTAAAAAAATATGTAGATCTTCTTTTTTGGTTTTACATTTGAAAACGTTTGTAAAAAAACTTTTTCTACATTTTTTTTTTTTATATTTGAAAAATATGTAAAAAAAAAGTAGATCTGCTTTGTAGCACTAGAATTTGGAACGTCGAATCTGTTTGGGACCGTTTAAGGGTTAAGGGTAAAGAGAGAATGGGCAAGTTTGGTAATGGCGCGGAAGGTGGTGGTTCTATAGAAAACAGTGCTATCAAGAGCAAGGAAGGATGTAGAGCGCCACGAAAGGTGGGAAAAGTCAGGAAGATTACGGAGAGCGAGCAGTCCCCCCGCCACAAAGAGCTATTCAGGGCAATACCAGCCCGAGGGGTAGGAGAAGTGGCAAAGTAAAGACCAAAACAAGAAGTTCAAGCTCATACTGAGAGCAGTTGACAGAAGACAGGTTAGTAACAACAGTAAGTAAGGGAGAATTTAGACCAAGGGCTAGCTGAGATGAGACGTTGAAGTTTATTTGTAGTTAGTTTAGAGGAATGAATTGTGAATTCAGGCGAGTAGTGTCCAAAAGCCAATGGTAGAGAGAGGTTGTTAGAGATCTTGTGGAAGAGAAGCAGAGAGCACGGTGACGCTGACGGAGAGTAAAGAAGGCATCTTCAACCTGAGGATTCACAGAAAGGTGAGTTGCTGAAGTAGGAGATGGGCGATGATCAGGAAAGGGTGGGTTGGGTTTCAGCAAGTGGAGAAGGGGAAGGTGCAAAACTTGTTCAGCCAGTGACAGTCACCACAGAAAGCGAAGCTGATTCTTACGACGCTGGGCAGCAATAAGAGCAGCCTCATAAGAATGAAAGAGGGCTTAAATGAGGAAAGGACACGTTTAAAAAAGTTGGAAGAATAAAACGTTTAACTGCGGGGTCCATAAATAACAAAAAGGCACAACACTGTGATGGAAAAAATACACAAATAACCTGCTACATAGGAAGAGAGGAAGCATTTACGACGACATTTCGATCCGACTTGGCCCATTTTACAAAGTCACATATTGAAAAGGAGAGCAGGATGAGTATATATAGGCAGGAGGTGGTAGTAGTGGTAGTAGTAGAGGTGGAAGGAAGTAAAGTAGTAGTGGGGAGGCGGTAAGAGTAGTAGGGGGCCAGTCAAATAACTAAGAAAGGGAGCACTGCAAGGGAGTAGGTGCCCACAGAGGAGTTAAGAGCACAACACCGGGGGGGGGAAAAAACATAAATAAATAAAGGAACAATACACAGGCAGAAGAAAGACAACCCAAAGGAGAAAAAAAGGAGGAATTCAGGTTAGGGTCACGAGGTGTCTGAATGTTTGGGCATTTTACGATGTAGTGGGAGAGGAAGGCAATACAGAGACGAAGCCATCCTGTTCCAAGTCGGACGAAAATGTCGTGTAAGCTCCTCTCTTCTATGTGCTGGTTATTTGTGTACATTACTTTGAATTTGTCTGATTGTGACCAGCTTACTGGAGAGTCATTACCTTTGTGTAAGTTATTCATTATGTAACAGATCTGCTTATTATTCGTTAACTTGCTCAGCTATCAAAACTTTGGGTCCAGTCCCTGGACCAATTATATACCTTGTAATCTTTTGATACCACCCACACCGGGATTGGTTATGGAGTGCATAATAAGATATTAACAACTAAACGGTGGACAAGTATATGACACCACTAGAAACAAATTATTAAAATACTTGTGATGTGACACGATCCACTACAGATTTAAAAACATCAAAAGTATTTCCAAATTGTGGGTGACCATGTGGAAAGTTTTAATACAATATGTATAGTAAAATTTACTTAAATTCAGTGTTTGGTGGCATTTGTTCAAATGTGGTAAGGTTAAGTTCAGCTAACAAATGTTTTCAAAAATTCAATAAAACTTTGCAAATAACCAAAACCTCTACTCACTCCACCAAAACATCTAATAGCAAATACCAACAAAATTTTTATGCATTACAACACAAAAATCCATTCCATCAAATCCAAACTGTATACAGTATACATGCAGCACACCTTGACCAATAAAAAAATTAAAATGTTTAATATACTATTATTACATATGATCAAGAGGGAATAGTGAAAAACGATTCATCGTTCTAATGTCCCTCTTAAGTTCTTAATTTTCTGCTTAGTGAAAGACCATTGAGGGTTTACCTCATCTCCCCATTACATTCATGAGGAAGGGTTGAAACTCATTGGGGGTTGTTGGTGCCTAGGGACTGGGAGAAGTAGAAGTACATAATCAGGTTTGATCTTAGGAAAGATAAGGTGGTTCCCCCACACTGAATCAAAAACCTGTCATCAGAATCAAGGCACTGCCCACATTGAAGGGTACAATGTAATACAGTACATATGTAACACAATTAAAATAATTTTAAGTACCATCTGATAGCTGAGGATGATAATATTCAGTAACTTTCCATACTGATCAAACATCCAAACATTATTGACGTGGAGATGGGTCATTTCTGGCACAGAGGTGCAGGATCCCTCGGTACAAAATTTTAACCTTCTCTTTGAGTTGTGATCATGGCATTGGCTGTTGATATCCCCATGGAGGCATCTATGACAAAAAGTAATGCTGTGATTAGCGAAATCATGGGTTAGCAAATAGTTAATCTGTGTTTGAATATGTATGTGTTTGCTCACTGCTAGGGAGTAAGACAGCTAGGATATTGAAACACCTGCAGGTTTTGTTTAACCCTTTCAGGGGTTCCGTCCCGTAGATCTACGGCTTTACGTTCGGGTCCAAACCGTAGATCTAGCCATGAGCTCAGCTCACTCTGATAAACTGTGAGTGGAACATTTGGGCCCTAGATATGAGAGAATACATCTATGTGGTATGTGTGCACCACATAAAACAGATCTGCAGCACACTGTGGTATAATGAGGAAAAAAAATTAAATCATTGATTTTTCGATTAAAACAGCAAATTTGGCAGTGTTTTTTTGTATGTTTTTTAGTGTATTTGCGATTTCTTGGTCTCATTTTGATAGAATGGAAGACATATTACAGAAATAGCGATGATTTTGATTGGTTTTAGCACTTGGAAATGGCCTGAAAACTGAGCTCAAAGTAGCAGAAATGTTAAATTTTTGCGATATTCAGAGTAAAACAAACGACCTTCACACGTCCTAATACATGTCAATGGTGGGTCTAATATACATTCACAAATATGGTGATGATATTTTATACAATTATTACGTATTGCATAACAGTAAATCTTCTATTTTTGGTGTGTGAATATAAAAAATTCAAATGGAATTTATTTGTAAAGCCTCAAAAACATAACTAATGAACAGAGGAAATGTTAGTTTAGTGCCAGGAATGCCTACCATTGGTCATTCTGGGACCCTATTTTGAAATTGGAATATTTGAAAGCTTGTGTTAAATTGGCCAAATTAACCAATTTCCGATCACTTTATTTTGTAGTTGTGAAACAGTTGACTTGGCGATTTTCTGTGCTCAATCGATAGAAATAGAAAGTAATTCTAGAATTGAAATGCTATGAATTAGCGGTTGATTGGAATAATGTAATTGGCTAAAATGGGGGTCAATTCGGCAAAATCGCCAATTCGTAAATATCGCCTTGCACATCAAAATTTGCGAGAGCATAATTTCGTCAATTTTCACCAAATTTCGTACTTTTTGTTTTATAACCTTCTCAAAAAGATTCTCTATGATTTCATAAGAAAAAATAACCAAATTTTTTTTTTGAAAATTCTTGGACACTGGTGCGTGACTCCAGATTTGGGCTGGACCCTGAAAGGGTTAAAGACTAGGCTAGGGTGGTGGGTAGGGGATGTATAGATCTAGTGTTTACAATTGATGCATATATGTGAACAGTATTTAAGATAAGGTAGGGAGAAGTTATTGCATTGATGGATTTAGAAAAGGCATATTATAGAGTTAAGGTAGTAGGTTGGTAGACAGCAACCGCCCCCTGGAGGTTACTATCGTCCTGCCAAATGATGTGTTTTAAAACGAAAGCCTGGTAATTGTCTCTTTACATGATGATAGGGATGCTGGTGTCCATTTTTCTGTTTCATAAACATGCAAGATTTCAGGTCTGTCTTGCTACTTCTACTTACACTTAGGTCACACTACAATACATGTTTTTTTTTTTTTTCAAACAAGTTGGCCATCTCCCACCGAGGCAGGGTGACCCAAAGAGAAGAAAAATCCCCAAAAGAATACTTTATCAACAGTCAACACTTCGCTCACTCAACATATCACTGTTTTTGCAGAGGTGCCAGAATATACAACATTTAGAAGTATATATGTATAAAAAATACACAATATATCTCTCCAACCTGCGATATCCCAAACACTTCCTTTAGAGTGCAGGCATTGTACTTCCCAGTACTTCAGCAGTTGGTATGGCAATGGAAAGCCTCTTTCACCTGTTCTAGTAACCTATAATTGGAATTTTTTTGAAACAAGTTGCCTTAACAAAATCCTCTCTAATAGGCTAAAATGGGTTCAGTATTTATTTATTTATTATCACACTGGCGATTACCACCAAGCAGGGTGGCCCGAAAAGGAAAAACTTTCACCATCATTCACCCTCCTGTCTTGCCAGACAGGCGTGCTCTCTTACATCTACAGTTTTTAAACTGCAACATTAACACCCCTCTCCGTGTACCAGAGTGCAGGCCTGTACTTCCCATCTCCAGGACTCAAACCGTGTCCGGCCCTGCCGGTTTCCCTGAACCCCTTCATTAAATGTTACTTTGCTCACACTCCAACAGCACGTCAAGTATTAAAAACCATTTGGTTCCATTCACTCCTATCAAACACGCTCATGATACCTGCTGGAAGTCCAAGCCCCTCGCACACAAACCTCCTTTACCCCCTCTCTCCAACCTTTCTGGCCGACCCTACCCGCCTTCCTTCCACTACAGACTGATCACTCTTTGGTGGAAGGTCATTTCTGTTTCGCTCATTCTCTCTACATGTCGAACCACCTCAAACAACCCTTCCTCAGCTGGGACAACAGTTTATGGTAATCCCGCACCTCCTCCTAACTTCCAAACTACGATTCTCTGGGGGGGCCATTATATTCACACCACACATTGCCTCAGACAATGACCTCTCCACTGCCTCCAGCCTTCTCCTCGCTGCACTAGACATTTGTATTGTCCCCCCCCATGCTTCACACCCATATAAGAGCGTGGTAAAACTATACTCTCATACATTCCCCTCTTGCCTCCAAGGACAAAGTTCTTTGTCTCACAGATCTAAGGCACACTCACTCTTTTTCCCTCATTCAATTCCCTATGATTCACCTCATCTTTCATAGACCCAATCCGCTGACACGTTTCTCCACTCCCCAAATATTGAATACATTCACCTCCTCCATACTCTCTCCCTCCAATCTGGATATTCAATCTTTCATCACTAATCTTTTGTTTCCTCATACACTTACTCTTTCCTGGTATTCACCTTTAATTTTCTTCTTTTGCACACCCTACCAAATTCATCCACCAATCTCTGCAACTTCTCTTCAGAATCTTCCAAGAGCACAGTGTCATCAGATATGTTGATGATTATTTTGTGTCTTATGCCCAAGAATGTGATGTTACACCATTTCCTTGGCAAATTAAATTGCTTAGGCCCATTCGATTAACTTAATGGTGATTTGAAGAAAATAACACATTGCCTTTTTTAGATTGTTTTAATTATTAAGGGTAATAATGAATTCAAATTTAAAATTTACAGAAAACCTACAAATAAAACTGTTCCTATTGTCCACTATTATTATCACATCAAGATAGAGTTAAACTGTCGTTTTTCATCAATGTTTTTTGAGAGCTTTACGTATTTGTAGTCCAGAGTTCATTAGGAATTTTGAGGAAATATCCAAAATTTATGAAATAGTAATGTTTTGAAAATACCCAAGGAAACGTAATTGATAAAATCTTTTTAAAATTGCTAGGAAATACTTTTACAATCCAAAAAGGGACAACCAAACCCGATTCAACTAAAAATATGTTTGGTTCTCTTGCCATGAAATACTTGGTGGTTATGCCTTCTTTCTTAAGACTTTTTATATATCAAGTTGTATTTAAAAATCTTGATACAGTAGAAAAACTTTTTGATAAGATTCCCCCCAAAATGCTGATGGAGGTGTTATAAGATTCCTTGTAAAATTTGCGATAAAGTTTATTACAGTCAAACTGTTAGTCTCGAACTAGATTAAAACAAACATAAATTAGATTAGAATGGACAAGATTCCAATGCTCTATTTATTCATGTAAGAGATTTTAAGCACCAAACTGATTTCAAAAAGTTGAGAAAGTTGTGTCAGCATGTCCATGGACGACAGGGAATATAAATGAATCTTATTTCATAAAAAGCAGTTTTGGCAATAATGTGAAATATTTTCCTTTGGTTTATATAAACTAGATTCCATTATAATTAATAGAATTTGGGAAGAATTTAATAATACATTGGACAAATACTAAATTTTAAAAATTCTTAATTCTTGGGTAGAATACACCTACCATCCGGACTTACGACCTGTCGACATATACGTCCACGACTTACGACCGTGCATCTGGCAGCCCCACTGTACAATATTTGACAATTACTCCCGGCGGCAATGCGTCATGCCAGGCAGCATCGTTTGGAGTAACCCTGTCCTTCAGTAGCATCATACTGTATTAACTGTACTAACTGGACAGTAATTTCACCATGGCCCCTAAGATGAAGTCTGTGGCAAGAAAGGCTCTTTACTCTCGAACTCTCTATTTGTTTTCACTGTTGCACCATTAACCTGTCTGTATCTGTCTGCCTATATATCCGTGAATATCTGTGACTTTATCTTCTGTTACCTGTTGTGTCTTTGTTACCTGTGTGTGTCTCTGTCTACCTGTGTAGTGTCTTACTTGTGTGCATCTTGGTCTACCTGTGTGAGTTTCTGTCTACTACCTGTGTGTGTCTGTCTACCTGTGTGTGTCTGTCTGTCTACTGTGTGTCTGTTGTTACCTTAGTGTCTGTCTACCTGTGGTCTGTCTGTCCGTCTGTCTGCTTGTCTGTCTCATGAGCCATTCATTAAGGAGTGTAATTGGGTCTTGAAAGATGCCTATTAATAATGATAATAACACAATACTAATCACTGAGGCGCATTAAATGTGTATAAAACGTTGATATAGACGTGTTTTGCTTAATTCCCATCTATGATTTCTTTTTCAAAAATTATATAATAAACATGCTACATAACATATAAACATATAAATAAAAATATGAGGATGTTTTTCTGGTCGGCTTGACAGAGGGAACAGGAATTATTCATGTCCGGGCTGGTAACAACAACAACGTTTGTTTACATAACTCGCCAACTTCTACACACTCATTCATTTATTCATTTAAATCTTATTTACTCACCTCCATTCTACATTAAGGACTACAGATATTTTAAATAAGTAATGAGTGGACACGATTATTATATTATAGT